CTTTGGGTCTCACCAAACCAACTTCTTAAATTTGGCTTGGGCACATTTCACATGAGGGTTTTGGTGCTTTCCTAAGCTTCTTGGTATAAAGGTAAACAAATCTATTACCAGGGGGTTGGGACAGCCTAGTTTTCTTGGAGGCTGTATTGTGGGACAGCCTGTGACAGACAGGATGCCAGATGCTGGACCATTCTGAATGTCCATAGAACCATACTCAAAGACTAAAAAATTATTTTAAACCATGAGTATGTATTTTAAAAATTAAACAAAAATACATGCACACAAACACTACATGTAGTACAAAGATGCACAAAGAAAAAGATATAAACACATTGATAAAAGAATAAACACATTCGGGGGAGAGGGGATGGGCAGGGATAACTTTGGGAATTTGAGATTTGCAAATGTTAACCACTGTATATAAAAATAGATACAAAAAATTTCTTCTGTATAGCACGGGGAACTATATTTAATATCCTGTAATAGCCTATAATGAAAAAGTATATGAAAACGAATATATGTATGTTTATGCATGACTGGGACATGATACTGTACAACAGAAATCAACAAATTGTAGCTGATTATACTGCAATAAAAAAAAAGAATAAACACATCGATAGTTTTTCCTAAGTGTAGGAGGAGAATGGGAGTGGTGGATTCAGGTGAAAAAGGAATAAATGAATAAAACACCAATAAGAAAGGGATCCTGGCCAAGCCTGTGATGAGAATGGGTTACAAATTGGCATCAAAAAGGAAAAGCAGACAGTACATTTTTGGAAGAGGTGTTCCAATGTCTCCAGTGGTTTGCAAGAGGAAAAAATATTTCCTGACAGTCTGCTGATCTTAATTTCCCAGAATATCAAGGAAAGTTCGAGCAATGCATAACTGACCACACTCAACTAGAAGCAGGTAAAATGTCTTTTGAGTATGTTCCTAATTCAACTTGTTCCACATTAAAAAGAGGATATGGAACTTTATTCCTCCAGTTGAATAAAGAATTAAAGGGAAGAGTAAATAGAAGAGGGGGAAAACACTAATCAATTACGAGGAATTGTGGAATTGTGGTGGAGAGAGGTGATAAAGTGACGCCATGGTCACAGAACACCAACCTGCCCCTTATCCACGTCACTGTTCGCGTTTTCTGAGTCCATTGTCTCCGTCCGTTTCCTCTTCCCTTTTCTGAGAGCTTGAGTATTGGTAATTTCCTCAGTTTGCAAGATCTTCTGCATTTTCTCAGTTAGTTACCAAAGGTTTCCTGAAATTGTAGGAAAAGGGAATGCTCATGAGATGGTGCTACTCTGGACATAGTCCAAATGTTAATGTTTTTCCTTACAATGAAAAACAAACAAAAGGAAATATGATGTATTTCCAGCTTTATGTTTCACAATAGCACCGGTCACTCAGGTAACCTATTTCACTCTATACTTCTGATTGTTCTTTCTCCCATGGACCAATTTAAGACACATTTGCACTTGATTCAGAAGTCTTTGAACTCATCCCCATCCCAAGGATGTTTCCAGGATGTGAAATACAGGCAGTTATCACTTAAAAAATCAAATAGTATAAATTTTTCCCATCTTCCTAAGTTTTTTTCTTGTGTATCAGTTATGAGGAGTCTGAAAAACAAAGTAGGAATATTACAAAATTATGCAAATTATCTGAGAACTGAAGTTATGTATCTTTAGGAAAAAGACATTAATAATAGCAGATCTCATCAGGATCAAAACATTCCAAGGGAGAGCAATAAGAAATGCCTAGACATTTGTTTGTTTTTTTTCTGAAAATTCTAAAGTTTTGAGATAGAAGATTTTTCTTTGGTGTAATTTTAAGAATAGTGCCATAAAGAAGGGGAAATGGCAGGGAGGGTATAGGTCAGTGGTAAAGTGCGTGCTTAGCATGCATGAGGTCCTGGGTTCAATCCCTGGTACCTCTATTAAATAAAAGAAAAACCTGATTACTTACCCCCACAAAACAAAGCCAAAAAAAAAAAGGAAACAAAACCTCAAAGGCAACAATACATTTCATAAAAATTTTAAGGCAGAATCATTTTTTTCAAAATCTGGTAAAGCAGATGATAGTTGTTAGGTAGAATATGGTTAAAAGGAGCAAATCTAGCTCTTGCTGTGTATGCATGATGTAGCACATTTGGTCCTAGCATCCTAATTACTTGCATACGTTGATTGGTTTTCATGAAGGTATTACTGGAGAGTGTAAGTTCTCATCTTGCACAGGAAAGAATTCAAGAGCGAGCCATAATAGAGTGAAAGCGGATTTAGTCAGGGAGATGCACACTCCATAGACAGAGCGCGGCCATCTCAGAAGGGAGAGCAGTCCCGGAGAAGGGTGGTGGTGGTAGTGGTTAGTTTTTAATGGGCTGGGTAGTTTCATATGCTAACAAGTGGGGGGATTGTTCCAACTGTTCTGGGGAAAGGAAGGGGGTTTCCAGAAATTGGGCCCGCGCCTGCTTTGTAGCCTTTTACAGTCAGCCTTGGAACTGTCATGGCACCTGTCGGTGTGTCATTTAGCAGCTGATGTATTACAATGAGTGTATAATGAAGCTCAAGGTCTACTGGAAGTTGAACCTTCTGCCATCCTGGGCCAAGTTGGTTCAAACCAGTTTATGCCTCATCCTGTTTTCCCCAATTGCTGTGTCATTCTTTTAATGAGTGTGCCTTGCCCCCTTCTCTCCTGTCTCAAAAAGATACTTAATTACAAATCATTAACTTAAACTACAGAGGAGACTGTGCTTAAAGGAACTGTTGAACAGAAAGTAACTATGCCCCTTACCAAACTACACCAAGTAATTCTTTTAGAATACATGGTTCTTTTACCTATTTTAAAAGATAGTCATCATTCTCTACTCCAAGCATAAAATAACATTTGGGATGGCCTTGCCAAAATTGTTTGTTGTGACTCTTTGTAGACTTACTTTAGGTTTTCAAATACCTGAAGAGTGCTTCAGCTAACACGTGCTGGACTGTCACACCTCACTCACAAATATCAGAGCTCTTACCCAGTATTAAGCTCTGTTAATAATTTCAAAGATACCAGCAATGGGAGGGCACAGGCAGAATGGGGAGACGTCGAGGACATCCTGCTGGCTTTGTAGGTTCTTCCTTCTCATATGACATAGGTGCTCTGTGGTCTAGAATGGTAGGTAGGGCCTCCCTGAAGTTTGGGGTCACCTCGCACAGTGGGTGTGTTTAAGTTACGCCACATCTCCATTGTATACCTCTGAGTTGTATAGCTCACATGACCTTCTCCAGGGAGTTATAAATCCATAGGTTCTGGGTGTGTTTGCCATAAGCAGTCTTAAATCAGGGCTGTATACAAGTATGAACCTTCTGTAGACAAAAACTCCCCTCCTAGCGAATATCTGAATCTGTTTACTCAGAGCAAGGTCAAAGACATTTTCTGTGAAGGGTCAGATAGTAAATGTTTTAGGCTTTGCAGGCCGAGAGGCCAAATCAAGGGTATCATGTAGGTACTTATCAGCAAGAGAGAAAATAAATCTTCATGAAATTTTATTCATAAAACTGAATGTGTACTAGTAATAATGGAGTACAACCTTTTCTAAGACAGCTCTGCTAATGAAAATGGAATTTTAAAAATAACGTCTTGTTTAATTGGAGTTCAAAAGTTCCCTACCATCAAAATTAATTGCAAATGCTCACTTGCTAATGCTGACTTGTAATGAGATTTTACGTATTTTATCCTTGAAAATGTCTTTCACACTGATAAAGTTTAGTATTTGTAATTAAGTCACACTGGACTACCATGTACTGATATTAATCCACGAACTTACTATGTTCTTTATTGAGATAAAATTCACGTAACATAAATCTTTACCCTTTTAACCATTTTAAGAGTATGTCCAGTGGTTTTTAGTATATTTGATACAGGAAAATGGGGCACGAGAGGATGGCCATGTCCCAGGTGAGTCCCTGGGACATGCCTCATCAAGTGAGGATACTTGTCTTTGCACAGGAAAGAATTCAAGAGTGAGCCATAGTTGAATGAAGACAGATTTATTCAGAGAGACGCACACTCCATAGACAGAGTGTAGGCCATCTCAGAAGGCCAGAGAGTGACCAAGAGGTGTGGGAGTTGTTAGTTTTTATGGGCTGGGTGATTTCACATGCTAACAACTGGGAGGATGATTCCAGCTACTTTGGGGGAAGGGGCTGGGATTCCCAGGAATTGGGCTATCATCCACTTTTTGACCTTTTATGGTCAGCCTCAGAACTGTCATGGTGCCTGTGGGTGTGTCATTCACCATGTTAATATTACAATGAACATATAATGAAACTCAAGGTCTACTGGAAGTCAAATCTCCCGCCATCTTGGGCCTCAAGGTCTACCAGGAGTTGAATCTTCTGCTATCTTAGTGTTAATTGTTGTTTCATTCTTTTAATGGTTATGCCCTGCCCCCTTCCTTTCTTTCTCAAAATTACAATGTTATACAACCATTATCAAGAAAGTCCGTAACTCTCAATATGAGTTTATGACTTTAACTGAGTATATTCATCTCTTAGTAGACTTTTATAGACTTCTGTTAAATTCTTTTATATTTGCCTTTCAGTGTGCCATTACCTTGTGGATTAATTACTTCTGATTAAAGGTTAAGTGGAAACTCTTCAATAGCATAGTAAAAATGTATTTCAAAATATGGAAATTTCCTTTGCATTTGCATTGATGTCTGAAAGACAATGCTGGCAATGTAATTTGGACTTGAAAAATATATCCAGTGCAGATATGAGTGGGGATGAACATCTCATTTCTTGTTTAACTTCTGACAGCAGGGGAAGTGTATAAGCACTTGACATTAATTATGAGTCACACCTTAGTTGTTATTGAAATGACTTTACCTCCTCATTGTAAGTTTTCCATGTAATTACTTGCTTTGCCTTGTAATTTGTTAATGAGCTAATTGTCAGCATTATCAAGTCTGCAGCAAAAGCTAATTTCCAAAGCCATTCACTGTTCCATAGAAGTAGCTGAGGGCAGTTCTCATTCACAGAAATTTCAGTTTTGCCCCTGAACTCAAATGTTCGCCTCAAGATTTACCACTGCTAAGCTACTGAAATGCTGTATGACAGGGCAAGTTAGAATATTCAACTTCTACATCTGAAAAAAATTCATGGAACTGACAACGGTCAAGTCCACAAGAATGAAGCTCACCATTGACGTTATTGGTTCAATAATACATGGTATTTTCAGAAATTGCCAAGATGGCCTCAAAACTTATGTGGAAATGCAAGAGATTCAAAATGGCCAACACAGTCTTAAAAAAGAAGAAACTTGGAAGACTTACACTTCCCTATTTGAAACCTTACCACAAAGCTACAGAAGTTAAGACAGTGTGGTACTGTAAAAGGATTGACATGTAAATCACTGGAACAGAATTAAGAGTCCAGAACTAAATCCTTATATATATGGTCAGTTAGTTTTTGACAAGAATGCCGAGACAATTAAATGAGGAAAAGAAGAATCTTTGCAACAGATGGTGCTGGAACAAGTGAATATTCATATGCAAAAGGAATCCCACCTCACAACAGACACACAAATTAACTCAAAATGTAATTTTAGATCATAGACCTAAACGTACGAACTAAAACCATAAACTCTTAGAAGAAAACATCGGGGTAAATTCTGTGATCTTGGGTTAGGCGATGATTTCACAGATATGACAACAAAAACATTTTCACAAATCATACTTATGAGTCACACCTTAGTTGTTCCTGAAATGACTTTACCTCCTCAGTGTAAGTTTTCCATATAATTACTTGCTTTGCCTTGTAATTTGTTATTACATTAATACCATCAAGAAAGTAAAAAGACAACCTACACAATCTGAAAAAATATTTGAAAACAGATCTCATAAGGGACATGTATACAAGATATATAAAGAACTCTTGCAATGGTAAAAAGACAACCCAATGTTTTAAATGGACAAAGGATTTAAACAGACACTTCTTCAAAGACGATATACGAATAGCCAATAAGCACATGAAAAGATGCTCAGTATCATTAATCGCTACAGAAATGCTCACAAACACTACGAGACGCCTCCTCATGGCCACTGAGACGGCTATACTCAAAAAAGACAGAAAACAAAAAGTGATGTAAAGGGGGAAATCGAAGCCCTTACATTTTGTTGGTAGGATTGTAAAATAGTGCAGGCATTTTGGAAAACAATATGGGAGTTCCCCCAAAAGTTAAATATTGAGTCACCATATGACATATCAGTTCCAC